CAAAATTCTATATACCTGAGCATTTAGGTGAAGACATATCATTATTTCATTTTTTTTATTAACTTGGATATTCAACATGCTATGCGAGTCGACTAATCCAGGACGACCACCTGTTTTGCAGATAGCTCGGAGTAACCACATTTGAACCTTTGTGGTCATTAATGGATTTTTTTATTTAATATCACTTTATTTACTTTATATTTATTTTCTTTCTTTGATATACTAGAAGGGTACTCGTGCAATGCAATAAGATAAATCTTTATTTTAATGTTTAGTTTTTATTCTGTCTTTATCAATACAATACAATTTTATGTGGTTTTGAGAAAACGATAATTATTTATTTTTAAATGATATATAAATTTGAAGATAACATAAAAATTAGAAAAAATAAATCGATATTAGTATCAAATTAACTATTTAATAGTTCTCGTTTTTTTTATGTAACTTCTATAATTCAATTTTTGTATTATAGTTTAATTTAGATTTAATAACAAAGTAATTTATTTTTGGTTTAATAATAATTTTTTTTATAAAGATAATAATCAAACACATTTTGTTAGAACTCATTGATTATCTTAATTATATTTTAGATATTCTATATTTAAAATGGATGTTTATCCTGTATTTGATTATGTTTATCTGCAGTTAGTTACACGAATTTAAAAATGGAGYTTTAATAAGTTGTACTTGTGCAAAATTACTTGTAATATTGAATTTTAAGTAATACGCATCAATAAATAGTACTTCATGCATAAAAAACAGTTTTTTAGAGTTTTTGTCAAATACTTTATAATATAATATAAATATATTCACCTAATTAATGGACACGAAAATATCAAGAAATTTTGGATCAACAAACTTTCTTCCTGCCTTGTAACGTATGTACAACTATACAAATTATAGTAAAATCTCTATATATCAGTGGCGACTTTACGGGTTGGATTGAGCTCTGTCTAATCCTGATAAATATTAATTGGTGGGTTACCGTTTTAAAGGGTTGAGTTTAATCAGGTTCTTGATTCCATGACGACCCTATATTTTCGAGTTGATTATTTTGAAATGACAAGATTATCCTCAATATACTAAACATAGAAAAACACATTATTGTAAAGTAACCCAGTTAACCTTATGGGGTTAGCTTAACTGTCGATAAAACTTCAGCTTTTGGGGATTTTCTATGAGTTCACTGATTCAAACCCTAGAAGGCCACTGAGATTTTCCTGATAGTTTTCCAAAACCCTGCGATTAATCGAAGTGCGTGCAAGCTGACCCCAACACCAAACGGTTATACTAACCCTGGTTAATTTAATTTCTATAAAATCATCGAAAATTAAAGCAGTAGTACTTCACAGTTTTGTAAATATATATAAATGATGGTCCAGTTGTAACTTTGTATATCGCCGGCCGGCCGGCCGGTAACTCACCTGTGAACATCTCAAAGCTATGATGACCTTGGTTTATCCACCAACTTTGTCTTCGTTCCCCCATAATCTTTCCTATAAAAGAACTCAAACCCACCAAAAACCTTCAAATCATCATCAACAACAACAATGGCGGATCTAAAAGAAGGAGGGATCGTGAAGAAAGGCCATGAAGAAGGTCTGAAAATGGCGGTCTCCATCCTGGAAGAGTATGGTCTCCCATTGGGTCTTCTACCTCTTGCTGACGTCATCGAAGTAGGGTTTGTGAAAAGCAGTGGTTACATGTGGATTCTGCAAACCAAAAAAGTGGAACACAATTTCAAGATGATCAAGAAACTTGTGAGTTATGATGCTGAGATCACGGGGTATGTGGAGAAGAAGAGGATCAAGAAATTGAAGGGGGTGAAAGCTAAAGAATTGATGTTGTGGCCGCCGGTAAATGACATCAGCGTCGATGATCCACCCACCGGAAAGATTCAGTTCAAGAGTCTGGCGGGTATTACAAAGACTTTCCCGGAGGGAGCATTCGCCGCCGGCCAGTAGTTTTATCCCGCCGGAGCTTGTACGTTGTGTTGGGGGGTTATCTTTAAATTTGTTGCAAACTTCCTTTAATTACATGCATGTAATACCGAAGTCATATCCATCGAGTTTAACAAATAAATAATGTTCACATTTTGGCAGGACCTTATCTTAACAGGTTAAATATGAGATTTTGAACAATGTATTCGAAATTTTGGGATCCAAATTTACACGTGTTTAGGTTTTTTTATCGACCTATGTAAAACTATAGCCGAAATTAATTAGGTTCAAACCATTACTTATTTGGTTTTAGGTTCAAATAAGTATTGGTTTAGGTTTAGTTTCAGATTGTTAATCGTTTTAGGTTTAACCCATTTTTATTCTTAACATATATCATCTGTCATCTCATTTATGTAATGTAATCAAAAGTTTTGGATGTAGTAGGACCTCCAAAAAGGTTGGAACGTCCGTGTATTTTGGTTAGTTAATAAGTTAGTTGTTAGTTTGTTTGTTGATACAAAACAACTGATAAATTAGATGATGATATAAAATAACTACAAGGGACAAGAGTATCTCCAACGACTATGTTATTTTAAAAAAAATTAGAAATCTCAATTATTATTATTAACTGATAAGTTAGTTATTAGTTGATAAATTAATCATGTCTGATAAAACTAGCTGATAAACTAGTTGAAAATTACAAAATGTTAAAAGAATTAATCTATTAATTTTTTTAACTATTACATACTAAACTTTTTTTGGGCCCTGGACCGACGCCCGTCCTGCCATGACCAAACCAAATCAAAGAAACCCGGTAAAAATAAGGTTTGGAAAGAAGATTGTCTACTTTACTAACGTTATATTTCGGAACACCCTCTAAGGAGAGTACCGAGTAGGATCTAAGTTCATGTGTGTCATCAACCTCCTTTATAATTGTCATCCTATTTGCTTTTATTACCACCTTTATAACTGCCATCATACAACTGTCTACCCCGAAGCATGTGTACAAGCTTGTAATGAGGGACGCGATCTTGCTACTGAGGGTAATGAAATTATCCGTGAGGCTACCAAATTAAGATGTACGCTGGTAGAGATGTTTCCGAAAAGACCTCAACTTACGAAGAGAAAATTACGAGCAGATTTGTAAAACATTGCAAATTGCCCGAAACAAATGAATCTTTTGCAACACCCTAAAACTTAACAACATTAACCAGATCGGATATAGCGAAAAAGGAGTAATTTTACCAATTGTTTTGAAAGTCGTCTACCACGATACCGGAAAATGAGATGACAAACACGCTCTTCCGAACACGTTGGATTGACCAAAATCGTTGACCCGTCCCAGATTTTCTACCACGATACTGATAGCAAGTGATGAATCTCAAAACCGACATTCATCTATACGACTCTTGTGCAGCTGAAATGCTGGATTTACCCATGCTCCGCAGTTGCATTGCATACCTGCCCAATTAAACGAACCCAAACGAGCATTGCAACCGATGCATTGAAGCTTTTGCTCCGTGTTACCTTCCTCGACTGTCGAATAACATAATCACCATTGGAAACATAGAAAAAATCGAGAGGAAAATTGCATCAAAATGCAACAAAGTTTGCTTCAGTTCCTATTTTGTGTAACGAAATGTTGCATATTCAAAATTTTCTATTTTGTACTCGTTTTGACCGGTAGCATATTAATCTTGTAATATCTGATGACGTGGATGCCATGTTTATCGTCCCCTTCATTGTGACCCTTTAGTAAACCTTTCAGGTATCCACGTCATCAAATGTTACAAGATCAACAGGTTACCGGTATGTAGAAAATTCTGAAACTTTGTTACCTTATGCCGTCCCAGTATAAGCATCCACATTTCTATTATACTTTGTCCCAAAATAAGTGTCCACTTTCAAAAGTAAATGTCTACTTCCAATTCGACCCTTAATTATAAGAACGAGAATTTCATTACTCCAACTATTGTTAAGGGTAAAACTGTCATTTGGTTAATAGAAAGTGTAAAAATTACGTATGTCTAAAACCATGTTATACAAACTAAGAACTAAACCAAATTTTGTTGTATTCTGGTGCATTTTGCATAAAGCGAAATCAGTAGAAAATCGGGAAGTGTCGTCACTGACCTGCTTGCATCCATTTCATTGGCTCTACAAATATGGACGAACACTCGGGTGGCTCGTTTACCATATCCTTCGAATTGCTGCTTCTCTTCTTCCATTTAAAGCATTTTTCACCTTCTCCGCGTTCGTGAGGAACTATATGCTCCTGTGAAGCAACAATCCTTCGACATTTCTTGCAGCGGAAAATCATTTGAGGTTTTTCTTCGGATCCCACATCAGTGTGATTGGAGCCCTCCATCGTAGATGCCATTTGAGTGCTCATTATCGTACACGTTGGCTGTAGAAGATAAAGTGCCTTAGCATAACCTCGTTAAAATTCATTTCTAACTCGAAAATTATGAAGGGACTTAAAAGAACGCTAGATGGAGTAGCAATAAACTGAAGAATGGTAAGGGCAAACAAGTCTTTTAGGAGCCGTGGAAAGAAACGAGCAAACAAGTTGCATAGTATAGCATACAAAGGATAGGTTTATGCAAGTTTTGACGCATAAATGTAAGGAGTTGGGATCATTTGAGACCAGCCCGTTTTCGAGAGAGTCGTGAGACCAGCTGTGAAGGCACAAAAACAAACTGAACCTTCACACTGTGAAGGTTCAATGTTTTTTTGTACCTTCACGGTGTTTTGCTGTGAAGGTTCAGTGTTCTTTATGGTCTGAAAGGTCTCAGGAAATCAAACTGATCTCACATGATCCCAAGTCTAAATGTAAGTATGTAACCATGCAAGAAACGAGTGAGAAATTCATTACTCCCTCTATTATAAAGGGTAAATTTGTCATTTAGTTAATTAAAAAGTGTAACAATCACACATTTTCTAAGATTGTCCGCATTTTCCATTGTGGACATCAAAGGGAGTATTATACAAAAAGTTTCAGTGATAATATGACGATATTCTACACCTTCCATCCAAAGAAAGAGTCCACGTTTGACTTAT